TTTTTTTTTTTATATTTTTTGGGTAATTTTTAAAAAAAAAAAAAAAAAAAAAAAAAAAAAAAAAATCACTTTCAAGGAAATTATTGTTATTTTTGTGTCTAGATTTTTTTCAGTGGACATAAAAAATGTAAATTCCATCATTAATCCTTAATTTCTGAGAGATAGAAAACATCATTGCACAAATATTGATTGAAATGGTTAGCATTGGAGTTAATAATCAGATACAAAAATGTTTTAGAGGATTTTTTTGGTTTCTGACACGATAGCATGACTAAACACTCCCCGGGTCAAATTGACCCACGAACATTATTGCTGTACCTCAGAAACGAACATAACAGGAGGATTAAGTATTATAACAGCTTTAAAATGTCTTTCTTGCGTTCTTGCTGTGAAACGTCATAATTTTTAGAAATCAGGAGCAGAGGAGACGTCACACTGTGTGTGAGAGAGAGTGGTCAGTGTGAAACAGGGTTTTGCTACATTTAGCATATTTGCAATATGTGCATTAAATATTGCTCTCTGTATTTCTAACAAAATTATAATCTCTTACCTTAGATTTGGGGTTTCCACAATCCTACCAACATGTCAAAATCCTACATGTCCCACAAGCAGACTGAGGTTTACAGCCCAAAAAGATTAAGCAACACAACCTTGCTTTAGTATATTTAGTCTTCATGGTATCTCCTGAATCACTCAAGATCCATTTCACACTTCGGTGTTTTAATACACAAAAAAATCCAGGCATGAAACCACCAAAACTGCAGCAGTACGATATGATGGAGCAAAATGACCAGAACCTCCTGGTCTGGTTGTGTTGTGGTAGCCTGAATGCACAGAAGTTGCTGTTATATAAAACACTTTGAGAAAAAAAAAAAAAAAACATCTTCCTATACCATATGTGCTTCCTCTGGCTTCTTTTTTAAACACCCCACTGATCGTGGAAATAGATCACCTTGAGTTTTCTTCACTCAATAACAAACACGGGTGTGGTGCTTCCACTTATTGGGAAAATGTTGGATTTAAGTTTGTAT